GGCCCTGGCAGTGAAAGCACCAAGTCCTAACCACTGGACTACCAGGGAATCCCCATAAATTACTTTTTTATTCCTCCTTCCCTCTAAACCCCACTTTCACTAAGATCTAAAAGGATTTCTGACTGTGGGCCTTTTTCCAGGGACAACAAAGACTTGAATGACTGTGAGACTAGGATTCTTTCCAACTTAGGCCATGGTATAATATTTCTGATAGGAAGAAATACAAGGTGGTGCTATAAAACAAGGGCAGAGAGCTACATGATAAATTCTAAAGCTGTGGGTCCTTGAAATGGCTACACATAGACACTTGAACATTCGAGCAATATTGTTTTTAACCTTAGTCTATGGGTCTCACAAAGGGGTCCTCAGATTAAGTTCAGTATATAAATGAGACCTCTGTTAGTCACTCAGTCATGTCCAACTCCTTGAGATCCCATGAACTGTAAACCGCCAGGCTCCTCTATCCATGTGATTCTCCAAGCAAAAATACTGAGTGGGTTGTCATTCCCTTCTCCAAAGGATCTTCCCAACCCAGGTCTCTTGCATTGCAGGCAGATTGTTTACTATCTGAGCCACCTAAAATTATATGTGTGTAAGCAATTATTTTCCTACAGAGAACATTGGTAGATTTCATCATCTAGACTATGTACTTTATTGCCCAAATCACCAGACTTTTTCAAGTAAAGGGGGATGTTCTCAGTTAATATGCTCAACAACAGGCTTAACCTGAGAATTTCCTGGGCAAACTGAGAAATATAGTCACCTTACTCACAACCCAAGAAAGTAATACATCACTGCACCAGATAACTTGGCTTTTCATTCCTGCAACCCAAGTGCCATTCGTGAATTTTGATTGAAGGCAACTGATTTTTATACAATCAAGTGTGCTCTATAAGTGTCTTGGCTACAAGTCAGAGAGCTCTGGAAACCGTTCAGCTGCTTCTCTTCCCCAGGCCTAAGCCCTGCCACCTGCATTTGATGCTGGTTGTTGCTTTGTGCTCTGAGGTGCCCACTAACCCCGGATTCAGGAAATGGTGCAATGCTGAAGTGTACGTCTTTGTACAAAGAGATTCTTTCTTGTGCTTTAGAAGCACTTCTTTTCCTCATCCTCCTAGATGAATAAAAATTACCAAGGTTTGGTAATGAGTCTTCCTCTCTATGCTTTCCCTTGAGATACATCTAACTGTAACTATAACACTAAATATATCAATGATTGGGTCACAGTCTTTGACCCATATCAGAATCCCTAATTCTAGACTCAGGAAGTAGGTCCAACCAGGAGGTAAATCTGCTTCCTCTTCACTAGTCCCTAGAAGGAATAGAAATAAAGTTTCTACTGATGAAGTAACCAATGAAGTAATTCAAATCTATAACTGATGAAGTAACTCAAATCTGTAGTATTAAGACTTCCAGGTGAAGCTGAGGAATAAGTTTTGAAAATATTGGAAAAACCTTTATGTGTTTGTTAGTGAAGTGCTTGGATGATATAACAGAAACCTCTTTTAGGGAAGCTGAATACTGGTCTGTGACTCTAATTAAGAATGTGACTAGAATTAGGATTTTTAGGTTAGAATTATAATGTATTTGGCTGTGAGAAATATTTGTAAGATTAATATAACCTAAATTGCTAATCAGTAACTTTAATTTGTGATATTTACAAGAATTGCTAAAGTGCTTAGAAAAGTTTGGGCAATAATGTTGGCCAATGTACCCTGTTGAACATTTGAAAACTTTAAAAGAAATAGATGTACTAGTATTAAATTTGTAACTGTAGGTAAAAATACTTAGAAGAATCTCATTAAAGAAATTTGTAAAAGGGGCTATTACATACATCAAATTTAGCCTATTGAAATGTAATCTATCTGATGCAGGTCAGTTTAATTTGATGATACTTATTTTATTTAAATGGCAAGAAACAAATTCTAGGACTTCCCTGGCGGTGCAGTAGATAAGAATCGGCCTGCCAATGCGGGGGACACAGGTTCCACCCCTCGTCCCAGAAGCTTTCACGTGCCACATGAGCAACTAAGCCTGTTCACCACAAATACTGAGGCTCTGCTCTAGGGCCCAGAAGCCGCGACCACCGAGCCGGCAAGCCCAGCTACAGAAGCCCGCACACCCCAGAGCCTGTGCGCTAGGCAAGAGAAGCCGTGGCAATGAGAAGCCCACACCCTGCAACAAAGAATAACCCCTGCTCACCGCAACTAGAGAAAGCCCACTCAGAGCAGCAAAGACCCAGAGCAGCCTAGACAAATAAAATTTTTTAAAAAAGAAACCAGGTCTACATATCTGATTACAGCATTATGCTTATAGTTTAAAACATCATCTTGTACATTTCATTGGTTAAGAGGATAGCTATATTTCATATAATTTTTTTCCTACTATAATAAAAAAGAAATTAAAATAGTTTTCAAATTTTATGCCAAACTCCTCTGTGCTCAGTCACTTCAGTCGTGTCTGACTCTTTGTAACCCCATGGACTATAGCCTGCCAGGTTCCTCTGTCCATGGGGATTCTCCAGGCAAGAATACTGGAGTGGGCTACCATTTCCTTCTCCAGTCAAACTTCTCTATTCAAAACCAAATTATTTTTGTATACTTTATACAAATAAAATTTGTATATTTTTAAACTTAAACTTTTAGATTTAGGAAGAACTAGGTGTTTACATTTTATTTTTAATACAGTATCAGTTAAACCCCAAGAAATGGGAAACGATTGTACACAAAAGCCCCCATACAGCTAAGTGACTTTCATAGAGAAGCAAGATCTGTAACATCAATAGTATATTCCAGTGCTTCCTGTGGGCTATGTACCATTCTAAATATTTTTTCTCAATTATTTTATATAACCTTCCACAGATCCTATAAAGTGAATCTTACTGTTTCCACTTCACAAGTGAGACAACTAAAGTATAGCGAGTTTACGTAATTTGCAGGAGTTAGAAGTGTACGTAGTAATCATCACACTAAATTTGAACTCAAACCAAAGCTGAATCTTTAGAATGCCCCCTTCACCATCGCAGGATACTTCCTCTTGAGAATGAAGTCTAAACTCCTTAAAACAGCATTCAAAGTCCCAGGTAAATCAAATAGCCCCCAAACAACTTTTCAAACCTACTGTTTATGAGATGCCCAGATGTATCTGACTCTAGCCAGGGTTGGTTCCACTAAATACCCAACAAACATATTTTGGAAATTCTTTATCACTGTCTCCATCTGGAAACCTTGCTATCTAGCATGAATCTGAGCATTTTCATGACTAGCAATCTCTGTTTCCTCTGTAAAATAATAACAGCTAATACCTATACCACTTGATCTTGTTCAGTCGCTCATTCCTGTTGGACTCTTTGTGACCCCACGGACTGCAGCATGCCAGGCTTCCCTGTCCTTCACCATCTCCCAAAATTGCTCAAACTCAAGTCCATTGAGTTGGTGATGCCATCCAACCATCTCATCCTCTGACACCCCCTACTCCTCTTGCCTTCAATATTTCCCAGCATCAGGGTCTTTTACCCATCCATTATTGCATGTTCTTCTCATGCGGATGATTAATTTTTAGTGTGGGTTAACCTTAACTCTTCAATCAGATCATTAATAACCTTACACTAGGGATAATGTATTCAATGCCTTTGTTTTCCCATGGTATGTCTTACCATCCTGAATCGCAACTGTCTATGGATGTGTTTGTCTGTCTCAATAACTGACCATGTCTTTTTCATTTTCCTATCTTTAATGTCAGGCATAGTATTTGCTACATAATCAGGCTCAATGAATATTTGGTGAAGTGAGTGCTCAGTTGTGTCCAACTCTTTGCAACCCCATGGACTGCAGCCTGCCAGTCTCCTCTGTCCATGGGATTTTTCAGGCAAGAATACTAGAGTGGGTTGCCATTTCCTCCTCCAGGGGATCTACCTGACCCAGGGATCAAACCTGTGTCTCCTGCATTGGCAGGCAGATTCTCTTCCAGTGAGCTACCTGGGAAGCCCATATAAAAGGCTTACTGGTTTTCAAAGTTGAGTTCAAATCATTATTTTTATTCAAATTTCTAAAGAAATTATTTCTGTGAACTCATTTCAAATGAACTCACCATTTTTGAAATCACTTCCTATTTTGCCCACAGAAATTCAGGCTTTATCAAAAAATTCACCTACTTGAAAATATTTTGAAATAGTATGATCTCAACTCATTACAAATTTTACTTTTATAGGGCTTGCATCTCATTAGCTAATTTTCTGTTGTTAAAGATTCTTCTGTTCTAAACTTTTAAGGATTACACATAGTTTTCACAGGATTAAAATTTTTTACAGAAAACCCAAGTCCAGTCTTAAAATGTTGAGTGAATTATTGCATAAATTTAAATGAGAAAGTAGTTGCACATCTTAGTTTATAGGTCTGAAAAATGATGGAAATAGCTTCCTGCTATGCCTAGCAGGAAAGTTTGCCATTGAATGAGAAAATATCTGTGAAATACCTTTGAATTCTTTGGAGGGAAGTTCCTGCAAGGTGATTAATAAACACTCATAGTGTTAGGATATCTTTTTTTTTCAGTAACTTCTTTAGTTTTAATATATTATATGAATGCTTGGTTTGGATTACTTTCGTACCTACAGTGAATACACATTTTGTTTGACAAGAAAAGGAAGTACATTGTGTGAAATAATTTACACCATAATGGAGGACAGAACCTTATATGAGTATAGGGGTTAGAACTGTGAATCATCTCTTGTGTGTTTCTAACTAAATAGAGGCAATCCACCCAAGAGAGAGAGAGAAAAAAAAAATTCTACAAACCACAAACTCCATCCAATCACATAAAGACAAATCAGCCTTCAGGCAAATCAAATGTCTTCATTTAAACCGTACCTGGATTTGGCACTCTGCCCACCTTTCTCAAATCTCTTAACAGTATGCTTTCACAAAGAGTTAAAGGCATACATACTGAAAGGCACTCCGTCTGCAACATTATTTTTAAAAAACAGGGAACTCTTTAGCCCCAGGAAGACCTGGGGAAAGAAAAGTTCCTTTCAGAGTCCGTACCGTGTGAATACAGGATTAGTGGGTGGGATTGAGGTGTGCTCAGGTGCATAAATAGAGGTGTGGGCTGAGCCAGCATACTAGGAAGCTTGGACTGCATCGAGGCCGCCTGGCTCACACAGACAGGTGGGTGGGGAGATCCAGGTAAGGCTCCTGACAGCATTGTTAGACGGGCACCTGTTAGAATGAGCTTTGGCCTCTGGTTACCACATAAAGGTGTAGGCAATCCACAGGCACAGGAGTGCGGGGCAGTTCCAGGAGCTGGAAAATGGGATTTGGAGAGGGAATTGATGGAATTTCCACCAGAGGCTTCCTGGAACTCTGTGGAAGAGTGATGTTCCTGAGCTGATTCAAGGTAATGCTTTCTCCCCCAGAAAACGAGAGGTTTAAGAGTAAGCGAACTCCTGGAGTTTTCAAGCCTGACACACAGCCCAGGGTCTCCCGTCTTGGTTAGTGAGCCCCGATCACCATCTAATGCTTGTTTCTTTCTTACTGGCAAAGCAAAGACCCGCAGGACTGTGAAACGTCAGCTCAGATTAGCTGCTGGGGATTACAGATCAGAATATTATTGCAAATCAGGAAATAGCTCTCCTTCTGTGTCTGATATAAAGATATCTTTATTGCTTATTCAGTCTTTAAATTCATAGGATAGAATGTAAAAGGAGAGATCTGGTTACTTTCCTAAAGCATTTATGAACAAGGACAATGAAACCTCCCGCAAGGCATTCATTGATGAAGACAGAGATATAATGACCAGTGAAAAGGGCTGGTTTCTTAGCGTGTGTATGTATGTCTTTCCAAATTATCAGGGTCCTCCATGGTTAGCTTTCTGTTTTGAGATGGTTTATGCGTGCAATTTGCAGATCACAGTCAATTCAGGACTAAAAATTGATGTGCTGGAAACAGTACTGTGAATCTCAGAAAATCCTGTTTGTACAGCAGGAGTTATATTTGGCTCCCTTGAGTCATCCTGCCATAAAACATGTATAAGGTATCAACAGTTCCAATCTGACTGCAAAGCTATAATAGGAGGTCCTAATGGCCACTTGCACAACAAGAATTGTCAGTGGATTAAATAAACACTTCACCACCTGTTTACTGCTATTTTTGCTAATATACATTTGTTGCCATACATAAAATATAAAATCAAATGTTTGTTGATAAATTTCAAGTCATTACTTGCCATGATATTTTCTAAATCAACCATTATCCTGACAGTGTAATTATTCTCACATAAGGGTTCTTGGTTTTTATTGTTGTTGACATGAAAAAGAAGTCTTTGTAACAAAAAGGCTAGAAGACTTGCAGCACACTTGGGTTGCTTCTGTAAAATACTGTATACAAAAATTGTTACTGGCATTTCTGTATCTTTATGGGTATAGAAAATGAAGACAGTGTATCCCTGTTTTTCACTTATGTCTTTTTTGTGAGATACTGCGTGGCTACTACATACTATGATATAGACAATAATTGGTCAGTTTAATACAAGGCATCATCTGGATTTGGTAACTCAGCAATGCCTTTTTTTTTTTAATTGGTTAATGCTTAACAAGGGCTTCCCAGGTGGCACAACGGTAAAGAATCCACCTGTCAATGCAGGAGATGTGGGTTCAATCCCTGGGTTGGGAAGATCCCCTGGAGAAGGAAATAGCAACTCACTCCAGTATTCTTAACCGGGAAATTCCATGGTCAGAGGAGCCTGGCAGGCTACAGTCTAAGGGGTCTCAAAAGAGTGGGACATGACATCATGACTAAACAACAATGCTTAACACAGGTTTTTCCTCAAGCTATCAGAATATGAGAAAGTTTACCCCTTAAAAACACTGAACATTGATGACCCATCCAGTTTCTCTTGCAGAGTTCATTTAATTTGAAACACACCAATATTAGGGTTAGGTGTTTCTTTTTAACAAATTTCAGTCTTTGGCTTTACTGGCACCCCAAGTCTCCAGCTTTGCCTGTAATGGTCCCTGGATGGCCCCAGTGATTCGCTAGTGCAATTCACTTTGCTGGCTCGCTTACTTCCTGACTCACCCATGGACTTTACCTTGCTATTCTCTTTCCCATTCATAAGCATCTGCTTTGAAATAGTACAACATTTCCTGATATTTAAATTTGGAATACTGGTAAGAAAAAAAAATTAACAAAGAGACATCCATGAGGTTGGTCTCTCTGTGTGATGTGTTCTGTAGAATATTTTATGGGATAAAATAGAACTGTTTTGTGCACAACCACCTACCTACACAGGCCCACACTAAGCGTCAAAGAAAAAGTTCACTGGAAGAAACTTCCATTGATGTATTTTAACCAGTTCAGAACCAATATATCTAGAGTTTGAGTGAATGTTACACTAGGGAGACAGCTGTGTGTGTGCAAGCCTTTAGTTAAAAGATAAAGTTGGCAGTTTCTAAATTAAATAAATCATTTCACTCATATCTTATTTTTCAATGGCAGTGTCCCCATTTTAGCAAAATGTTAAAGAAATATGTATGTTTAGAGCAATTTTTTCCGAATGGGAAGATGGGAGCCAGCACTGCAAAGTGGCAAGATCCAAAAGCCATGGCTCTATGCCCATCTCATTGGTCTTCATTTCTCTGAATTTCAGATTCTTCATCTACAAAATGAGACACTGGGGAGGTGGGAAAAGAGGATATAACCACTAAGATGTCTTCTAACATGAAGATTTTAGGAAAATATAAAATTTAAAGCAAATTCCCCTAGCTATAAGAATATATACATCTATCTCCTTATTTTCTTAAAATATATCTGTATGTATTTCTACATTGTATATTTCTATGGAGCTCTTCATCAGTATACTTTTTTTCTATATGGATCTATATCTATACAGAGATGGATAGATACAAATGTATACCATGCATTCTTAGGAAAGTTCTGCGGAAGGTATTTTTTCACTCCAATTGCACGTGTTCAATCCCATTTAAGCCTCAATTCTTGTTGGGTCCCACGGTTGTGCTGCAATCAGAAGACCTTGAAAAATTGCTACTTCCTTTTTGTTTTCCTGGCTTCTTGCTAATTTACTTGTTTTCCATATCAGATTTGCCATGGAGAAGATTCCAGTGTCAGCATTCCTGCTGCTGGTGGCCCTTTCCTACACCCTGGCCAAAGACACCACAGTCAAACCAGGAGCCAAGAAGGACACGAAGGACCCTCAGCTCAAACTGCCCCAGACCCTCTCCAGAGGTAGGAGTCGCATCTTCGTTGGCCTCCAATTATACTTAATTGGGAAGGATTTAACTCTCTGAGCCGAGATCTGTGTGAATGTATTTTTGTACATGTTCTTTCTACATTTATCAAAGTTTACCATTATTTCTGTTTTCTCTAGAGGTTTTTGCTCTTCTTTAGTATCAAGTATATAACAATCCCCGTTTTACAACTGTTTTTCAATAGTTTTGGGTCTGAAAACATAACAGTTTTAGATACACTGGGTTTTTTTATTCTAGGTTGGGGGGACCAACTCATCTGGACCCAGACATATGAAGAAGCTTTATACAAATCCAAGACAAGGTAAAGACAAGCTTTAGGGAACTCTCTCAAAGCTCTCAAGAGAGCCATCTAGCGATCTTTAGTGACACAAAAAATCCTACTCCTTAAACATGATCCAATATCTCTTTGTCTCTTGAAGCAATAAACCCTTGATGATTATTCACCACTTGGATGAATGCCCACACAGTCAAGGTAATTTATACTTCTAAATATAATTTCTTTTATAGGTTTATAGCTTTAGGGGGAGGGTCCAGATCTCTCATCTTTATACTCTTAGCACCCAGCACAGTTGAATTAAAAAGAATATTTTATGTAGTAAACACATATTTTCAAGTAACTTCAAATATTTCCACATTTTGTGTTAACCATTGGCTCACAGTTTGAAAACACCAGCTCTAGAATTCATCCCTGACTTCTTGCTTTGTCTTTTATCCCACACTCAACACATCAGCAAATACCAAAGCTTTACCTTCACACTATGTCCGAGGCCAGCACCAGCCTCCTGCACACACCACCTGCATAATCACACAGGACATGGTGCTTAGAGGCCCTGATGCTTGTTGTAAAGATCAGCTGTTGCCATCTTAAAAGTCATAGTAATTATTGAACAAAGGGCTCCATATTTGCATTTGGCACTGGTGATGGTGGTTTAGCTGCTGTCCGACTCTTGTGACCCCACGGACTGTAGCCCACCAGGCTCCTTTGTCCATGGGATTTCCCAGGCAAGAATACCGGAGTGGCTTGCCATTTCCTTCTTCAGGGGGATCTTCCCAACCCAGGGCTCAAACCCATCTCCTGCATTGCAGGTGGATTCTTTACCTCTGAGACAGAGGTAAAGCCCTATATATTACAAAGGCCCACTGGGCCCCATATATTATATAGCTGCTGCCCAAATGCAGACACTTCCTACCACCTTACTGCTACCATCCTGGTCCAAACCTAGATGAGATCTTGCCTAGATCTGTGACAGGCACCTACCTGGCTACCCTAGGATGCATCCCTGATATCTTTGAAGGCATCAGCCTCTCACTTCAATGTCATTTCCTCAAAGAAGTCTACCCTAAACACTCTCTAGCTTTTAAACCTCTTGCTTGGCTTTATTTTTCTTCAAAGTGCTTATCTCCACCTAAAACGACTTGCTTGTTTATGATCTGTCTCCCACGCAAACATGAGTCCTATGAAGAAAGCACATTTTATTTTTTTTCCCACTGCTCTATTCCCAGGCCATGAAACAGTCTTGCCACATAGTAACCACTCAGTAAACACAGGTTAAAAAAAATTGAGATGAATGATTGACTGGCCGAGCAGTAGAAGCGAAGCTGGCCAATGGTCTAGATATTTCTTCGTTAATCATTTGCAGAAAGTGTGGGGTTCAATACTCTATTAAAAATACAGTTCAGTTTAAAATCTAACAGAGAACCATGGTTTTACCTGGTGATGAGATGAATGCCTAAACTACTTTTCTCTGCATTATAGCTTTAAAGAAGGCATTTGCTGAAAATAAAGAAATCCAGAAATTGGCGGAGCAGTTCGTCCTCCTCAATCTAGTTGTAAGTTAGCGCTTCATCTTCACTGCCATTGCCCTCAGTATTTGAAATGGGTGGTTCCTTTTTCCCATATGTCTTAATCATACGACTTTAACGGGGATCTGTTCCGAACATCACATCTCATAGGCTACAGGGAGAAAAGATGCTATTTTGCGTCTATCTTGCATGTCTACATTTTGCTTATATATGTGCATATATATGTGATCACATCCGTGCCCAGTTGCTCAGGTGTGTCTGACTCTGCCACCCCACAGACTTGTAGCCTGCTAGGCTCCTCTGTCCACGGAATTTCCCAGACAAGAATACTGGATTAGTTGCCATTTCCTTCCCCAGGCAATCTTCCCAACTCAGGGATTTTGTTTCGTGTTGAATAATTTTAAGCTGCCTGAATAATACTCTCCTGTGGTCCAGGATGTCTTTGTTGCTGTAATAAATGGGAGGTTTTTGTCATTTGCCAATTCCTTGCTATGCCCCTTTCCCCTGCAGTCCTGGCTGCTCTCCACTCATCCTTACTCATGTGCCCTCTCTTTCCCTGGAAGAGACAGCTCTCTTGGTGCCCAAATCTAATCACTTCATGAATGCTGTGGGCCAATGCTTCCCCATCCTAATTGGCCATCACCACCTCTCTTCATGGTAAAGCTTTCTGTTTTTATAAGTTCTACTCAGCGTAGAAACAGGATCCACTTCTGTTTCAAAGGCAAGCAATCAGTAAACAACTCCTTCTCTCTCTCTCTCTCTCTCTCTCTCTCTCTCTCTCTCTCTCTCTCTCTCTNCCCCTCCCCCACCCCCTTCCTGGGTTGACAGATGAGCTTCTTCAAGGAACATCCACACCAGCTGTTTTTCTTCACCTCCTTCCACAGGCTCCTCTTCCTCCATTTACCCCTTAATATAAGTGACTTCCCGATCTCTACTCGACCTACTTCTCTTTTCATATTTTATATTCTCTATGGACAATTTCATCCAGACCTGCTCACTGCTAATTCCCCCATCTTCCTGGAATACACAACAGCTTCCAATCTGTGTCCACAACTGAATTTCAGAAATCTTGCAATCACCTTTAACTTGACGTGTTCAACACTGAATTTATCAACATAACAGGGTTTCCAAAAAGCTCTTTTTTCTCCATTCCCTATTCCATGAGAGTGTTATTCTAGACTTGACTCTCTACCTCACCTCTGGCAGTCATGAAGGCCTGTGGTTCTGACTTGGAAATAGTCTTACTATTTGTCACTTCCCTGTAAATCCAGGACTACTGTTTTAGTCTAAGAGTTTTTCTCTTTGCTAGCTTACAGTAAGTGGCTCTCTGACTGCAAAGTAAATCCTGTCTGATCCCGCACGATTGTCAAGAGTAATTACTCTAAAAACCAAATTGGCATCACGGCTCTTCTAACATCCCTCCAGTGGTTCTTCTCTATTTACGGGCAAATCTAAACACTGTGGTGAGGTGTGCAAGGCCACTCACGAGCCACCCCTGAAGTAGCTTTCTAGCATCATCTCTCACTACAGCCTCAGCATCTTTTGCATGTGTGCTCACTCACTCAGTCCAACTTTTTACGACCCCATAGACTGTAGCCCACCAGGCTCCTCTGTCCACGGAATTCTCCAGGAAGGAATACTGGAGTGGGTTGCCATTTCCTTCTTCAAGGGGTCTTCCTGACCCAGGGATTAAACCTGAGTCTCCTGCATTGCAGGTGGATTCTTTATCACTGAGTCATACAAAAGCCATTCCTACCCTTTAGTCTCATCCAAATACTCGATTATAGAAACTGCTACATCTTTCATCTGCCTTTGTATCATCATCCCCCCTTCTCTGCCCAGAATGACTTCCTTTTCCATGTAACTGACTCCTATTCATTCTCTAAAGATTTCTCTTCACCCACTTCAGAAAGTTCTATGGAACCTGCAGACGGGGTTAATTGTCCTACTCTGGGCGCTCAATGTGCCTGCATATCCTTCATCATAACATTTCACCCACTGGATCCCCAATATTCCTTCTCCTTCTCTGTCTCCCAATCTGTGCTAAGTCACTTGAGTTGTGTCTGATTCTTTGTGACTCCATGGGCAGTAGCCCACCAGGCTCCTCTGTCCATGGGATTCTCCAGGCAAGGATACTGGAATAGGCTGCCATTTCCTACTCCAGTGATCTTCCCGACCCAGGAATTGAACCTGTGTCTCCTGCATTGACATATGGGCACCACTAGTGCCACCTGGGAAGCCCCTATCTCCCAAAAGACATGCATTAATTCAAGAGAAGTGCAGTACACTGTTCAATAAAGTTCTGAATTAAAACATGATAGATGAATTCTCAAGAAAATCCTGTTTGTTTTGCAGTTTCTCCAAAAATGACTTCCTTTTTTATTTCATTGATCTATTTCTTCCCACCTCATCCAAGATGCGTTCCCTGAACACCATATGCCTCCCAAATTCTCCCTTATTGAATTCTGGGGCTCTTTATTCATCACAGACATCAGCTCTTTACTTCCTGTTCTGCATCACATTCTGCTCTAGCTTATTATTTCATGCATGTAACTAGCTTCTCCATCTGCATCATAAACTCTGTGCTAGCGATGTGCCTTAGAGTGCTTTAAGGTCCTTAGTCCAGGAATGGACATGTTTTTATAACAAGTTTGAAAATAACTGAAGGATAAACAAACTGATATTTGCTTTTTTTTTCATCTTAGTATGAAACAACTGACAAGCACCTTTCTCCTGATGGCCAATACGTGCCCAGGATTTTGTTTGTTGGTAAGTAAAAGTGGCGATGAGATAAAACACTCTGAACACTGCACAAACATTGCCACATCTTCTCCTCCGTCCTGCGCGCCCCCACCTCTTGCTTCACCACAGCCAAGAAGTGACAAAGCTGGAGTGGGGGGTGGGGGGCCAGCTGTTAACTTTCAGTTTCACAAAATATTTTCATTAGAAACTGCAAGCTCCTATTTTCATACATGACATTTTTTCATCTGCTAATTTGAACTTCTCATTTTCTGCCATAAGAACACCTGAGATGGAAGTACTCTGTTCATTGTTTAAATGTATTTCCCCAAATTATATCATGCCTGTAAGTATTTAATCAGGCATCATTTTGTGTGCTGGATTTTTCTTTCTGATGCTTTTGATAATTATTTTTTAGGTGTGTTATGAATATGGGCTGAAAGAAAAAAAAAAATCAGAGGAGCCATGCTCCTTCCTGCCACTGGTACTTTACATATGCTGTTTCCTGTCTGCCCCCACCCTGCCTCAGTATCCCCAGGTCACCTGGGTCATCACTGTCATTCACAGACCTGCTCAAAGCCCCATGATGTGTTTTTGTAGCACCATGTTCCTCTCAATGGTCACTCTTTCCTCAGTTATAATTTTGCATTTACTGGGTGATTGCTGAATAATTATTGACCCCCAAGTGGTAGAGACTAGATCTTTTTCTGCTCATCATCATATTTTCAGAATGACCCTGTGGTAAGCTTACAGTAAACATTTGTTAAATGACTGAACAAATGAATTGAGTTTGACTTTGATCAAAGTGGCTCAGACGGTAAAGAATCTGCCTGCCACATGGGAGACCTGGGTTTGATCCCTGGGTCAGAAAGATCCCCTGGAGAAGCAAACAGCCACCCACTGCAGTATTCTTCACTGGAAAATCTCATGGACAGAGGAGCCTAGCAGGCTGCAGTCCATGGGATTGCAAAGAGTCAGACACAACTGAGCAACTAACACTTTCACTTTGATCAAAGTCATACTGGAAAAAATGGACCATCCATAATTCAATTCATCACATAGCACACCTCAGTCTGAGCAAGCGGTTCACCTGCATAACTCATCCATGTTCACACTAACCTACAAAATAGAGGGAAAAAGTGAAGGGAGGAAAGGAGCAAGGTTGAACCAGAGCTAATCTTAGAGTTTTGCTCTTGTAGGGATTTAGAAGATTTAGAATCCTTACACTGAAAGGGCCTTTAGAGGTTATCCTGCCAAACCCTGTTCAGGAATTCTCTTCGGCGCTCCTCTTAAGGGCGGTCTGCTGTGCTGTGCTTAATCGTTCAGTTGTGTCCAACTCTTTGTGACCCCAAGGACTATAGTCCACCAGGCTCCTCTGTCCATGGGATTCTCCAGGCAAGAATACTGGAGTGGGTTGCCAAGCTCCTCTGCGGGGGATCTTCCCAACCCTGGGCTGGAACCCAAGTATCCCACATTGCAGGCAGAGTCTTTACTGTCTTAGCCACCAGGGAAACCCAAGGGCATTTTAAGCCCTAATTCCTCTGGTCATAAGAACCAGATCTCAGGCAGCGTGCTCTTCCAGCTCAGCAGTTCTCCACGAGGCCTGCATATTAGAATTGCCTGGGAGATCGGAAAAATCAAGTTGCCCAGGCTACATCTCAAGCCAGTTAAATCAGAATCTCACGGGGTGGGAGGCAGGTGGCAGTCTTTGAACGCTCTGGAGGTGACTCCCTTGGGCAGCCCAGGGAATGTGAGCCAATGGTTCGGAGACTTTAGAGCTTTTCTTTCGTAAATAGATTATGAAGGAGAGACCCTGTGTGTACACCAGGCAGAATTAGAGTAGATCTTAAGTGTTTCTTGAGTGAACACAGGTCAGTTTCCTGTAATTTATGTCTGCTGGTCCCAGTCCAACATTCTGAAATGACAGGGATTGTCCATCAAGTACCAGTGACAGACTTGGCATGCATGAGGCTAGGTTTCATGTGTCCTTTGCATCTAATTCTCAGGTAATGGACCACGGGCTCCTTTAATCACTCTCTTAAGGAAAGGCTGCTAGGCCTCTGTATTTCTTAATACCTCCTTTTTGGATGTATCTTGTTTATACCTTTTTTTCCTCATTAATTGGTAACTTCAAGTTAAACGTAAAACATGAAAAATAAAAAGACTTAAACCTAGAGGAATATATACATAAGGGACTCTCAAATCTCTACTTTTAACATGCAGCTTGTTAACAATAAAGTAAAAAAAAAAATCATGAGGACAATACACAATTATTTTACCTTGGCTCCTCTTAAGAGCTTGAATTCTTCTATTCATTAAAAAAAAAAAAACTCTGGTTTGGAAACCTATCATTTGATGTGAGTTTCTAATTATCTAGGCTTCTTTTGGTAAGATATTTCAATTACAACATAATCATTTCAAAAGTTTAAAATAATTATTTAGTAGAGAGGGCCATTGCTTTCACCAAAAACAAAACACCACTTCAACAATGTATATTACCCTGCTTTCAGGCTGCTATAGATAGAACAGCAGAGTTTGTAACCTTTTCCACAAATACTACTGCCTGGCTACTGAATGCTCCCAGTTTGGTTCTGGCTACCAGCTGCAGCAGCTGGAGATTGCAGACTGGATGGAGGAGAATCCCATCCAGCAGGGCACATCGTGTTCCTTTCATGGGATGTGAATAAATACGTAGGATTTCATGGGATGCAAATAAACACGTAGGCTTCCTCTGCAAAAGAGGTTCCTTTGAAGCAAAATACTTCACTCCTTTCAACTTTTTCTTTGTAGACCCATCCCTAACCGTTAGAGCTGACATCACTGGAAGATACTCAAACCGTCTCTATGCTTATGAACCTTCAGACACAGCTCTATGTAAGTGTTACCTCCTTGGAATATCCACAGAATTGCTGTTGTGATGGGTAGAGAGTCTACATTGGGAGGGGAAAAAAGCCGTGCTCAGAGACTCCAGGGAAACAGTCTGACTATATCTAGTCTTGTGGTTCTCCATCAAATCACATTCACTTTGATCTCATTTTTTTAAATCTCAAAGAACAATTATTTAGATTAGGTGTCTTTCCCTCCAGGGAAAGACCATAGGACCATATTACCTGCTTTTCGCGTTTCTCTTTGGCACAAGTAACTCCTTCTACCACAAAACTGAGTACAATAGTAATAGTACCAGGGTAATAGTAATAATCTGCATGCTTTGTTAATTTTTTTTCACAAATAACAAAAGTGAAACCATTTAATCCAGCTTATTAAAGCTGAATTTGAGTTCAATTTTAAAGATCAGTAAGAAAGATGGTTCCAAATAGTTGCCAAGATACTCGATTCCCCTGGGGTTGCCATAAAATGGAAAAAAAAAAAAAAAGTTTGAGACTCAAGGCAGAAGAACCTCAATGGGAAACTGTACCTAGCTGTGACATGTAATTAGTCCTTCTGGGAAGAAAACTGGGTTTTGTCCTAAGGATCAATTTGCTCAATGACTAATGACTGTATAGACTGGCATTGTCCAATTTGTCAGCCATTAGCCACCTGGAGTTTAATAGTAACTTTAATGAAAATTAAACAAAATTCACCAAGAGAAAACTGTATTTCAAAAAGACAAGAAAACTGTATTTCAAAAAGACACATGTACCACAATATTCATTGTAGTACTATTTACAATAGCTAGGACCTGGATGCAACCTAGATGCCCATCAACAGATGAATGGACAAAGAAGTTGTGATACAAATATATGATGGTATATTACTCAGCCATAAAAAGGAATGAATTTGAGTCAGTTCTAGTGAGGTGGATGAACCTATAACCAGTTACACACAGTGAAGTAAGTCAGAAAGAAAAAAGCAAATATAGCATATTAACACAAATATATGGAATGTAGAAAAATGGTCCTGACGACCTATTTGCAGGGCAGGAAGACAGGACTCAGTCATAGAGAACAGACCTGTGGACACAGTGGGGGAAGGAGAGGATGGGGTGAATTGAGAGAGTAGCATGGAAATATAAACATCACCATGTGTAAAACAGACAGCTATTGGGAAGTTGCTGCATAACACAGGGAGCTCAGCCTGGTGTTCTGTGACAACCGAGAGGGGTGAGCTGGGCTGGGGAGTGAAAGGAAGGCTCGCGAGGGAGGGGACCCGTGTATACTTATGGCTGATTCACCCTGCTCTGTGGCAGAAACCAACACAACATTATAAAGCAATTATCCTACAGTTAAAAATGAAAACTAAAAAAATTCTCATCTACAGACACAGTGACCACATTTAAAGTACTTAATGAACAAGCACTGAATATGTTTCATCATCACAGAAATGTCAATTGGGTGTCATCAACCTAGAATGGTATATTGGGAAGGATTGTGAGGTTGTGTCTAGCAGCAGGAAAGAATGTCCCGGGCCATTAGCAATGCCTCCAGTGGGTGCTGAGAGAACCAGGGGATGCACATCCCAAGTGTATTGAACATTCTTGAGATAATGGTACAAAGCTTAACAGGACTTTGGGATCCTTAAAGGCAGATATTCCGCACAGGTAATATCATCATGCCTTGTAGAAAATGAATCTAATAAACACTGGAAGAGATATGGATTATAATGAAAGCCATTTCATGTACTTTTAGAAAAAATTTACAGAATTACCAACTATTCACCCTATGATAAAACAGCACCTATTAAACAAGAAACAGAATACTAGAGTTTAGGGATAAACTTTAACTATTAATATAATTCTGATGATGTGTTGACTCTTGTAACTTTTTCCTCTATTAGTGCTCGACAACATGAAGAAAGCTCTCAAGTTGCTGAAGACTGAACTGTAGAGAAAACACAAAATCTGCAAGATCCACCCTTTGTGTTGGGCCTTGAGACTGGGAACCAGAGGTGGTTTTGGAAAACTATGGAGAAGGCTGAAGCACTGGTGAACCTACTGATTAGATGATGGTTTCATGTTACAACAGCTTTTTGTAAAAAAAAAGAAAAAGGTTTTACATATACATGTATGAAAATAATATCATATGCTTCCATAGTGAGCCATGATTTTTAAAAAAATAAATCCTTTTAGGGGGTGTTCAAACTGTTCATTTTTTTCCCAACCTGGTCTTTCACAAAAAGCTATTTGGTTTACTCACCAAATAGGATTTTTAAACACAAAATGTTCAAAAAGGGGACAAGACAAACCTAGTTCAAGCAACAAAGCCCAAAGATAGAATTATCATCTCATCTCACTATAGTTTCTAACTGGGTGACAAAAAGTAGACATGAGCTTGAACAACAGAAGTATCAAACAATATGCTCTAGGGTGACAGAATATCTAAAGGCATCCCGAGCAAATCAATATCTAACTGAAGACATTCTCTGGTGGCTCATTGGTAAAGAGCCTGCCTGCAATGCAAGAGACACAAGAGATGTGAGTTTGATCCCTGGGGCTGAAAGATCCCCTGGAGAAGGAAATGGCAACCCCTTTCAGTATTCTTGCCTGGAGAATCCCATGGACAGAGGAGCCTGGCGGGCTACCATCAATGGGTCGTAAAGAGTCAGACATGAGTTAGCAACTGAGCATTACCACTAATTGAAGACCACCTTGCCTCACTCTGGCCAGAAACTCCTATGGACACACTTGAATTTAGCAATTCATTTTTAGTTAGACTTTGCTCTCAGAGAAAGCCTCTGACAGATAGCTTTCTCCTTCAGAAGGCTAATTTTGTGAAAAGGTCATTCAGAGAACATCTGTATCCTTGAACACACTCCAACCACATCCTGAGAATTCAGCCTCATACTGTATTTGGTTTCTTAAGATTTTAGAGTACTGGCCTGAGATAAATTCGGTAAGAGCAAAGGGCAGTGACATCACCTCTATGGGGTAAAGATCAGAGATCACAATCTCTCTTTGGAAGGTTAAGGGAGAAGGTGGCACCAGAAATAGGAGAGCAGCTTTACGTATTTTTAACTCTGTATTCCACCAGACAAAAAATGTTGTTGCTGTCTTGTTCAGTCACTCAGTCGTGTCCAACTCTTTGCAACACCATGAACTGCAACATGCCAGGCTTCCCTGTCCTTCAACATCTCCCAGAGTTTGCTCAAACTCATGTCCATTGAGTCAGTGATGCCATCCAACCAACTCATCCCGTCACCCCCTTCTCCTTTTGCCTTTAATCTTTCCCAGCATTAGGGCCTTTTCCAATGAACACAATGAAAAGACAAAAATTAGCAATACGTATTCCTCTGTACTTACTAATTAATACTAAGTATCACTAATGTACTAGTGCACGTGTGCTCAATTATGTCCAACTCTTTGCGACCCCATGGACTGCAGCCTGCCAGGCTCCTCTGTCCATGGGATTTCCCAAGCAAGAACACTAGAGTCAGTTGCCATTTCCTTCTTCTGGGGATCTTCCTGGCCCAGGGATCCAGAGTTCGAACCCGCCTGCCCTGCTTAGGCAGGCATATTCTTTACCACTGAGCCACCTGGAAAGCCATTAATGACTTCAATACATATTTAATCTCACATTCATTATTATACAAAGTTCCTTTATCATCCAACCTCCACTGCCTTCCTTAGCCCCCAAATGGTTGTGGTGGTCTGTGCCATGCTTTGTATATTGGTTATCTATTGCTTGTCTTAATTAACTTTTTGTTTCTTTGGATAGAGCCCTTCGGAGTAGGTCCTTTGGCATTAGTAACTTTCCCAGTTAATACTTTCTAAAATACTTTCTCTCACACAGTACTGTCAAAGAGCTCTGCACTAATCTGTTCTAAGCCTATGCTGATGATTTAAATCCTTAACAAAACTGTCACCAGAGGAATTGGGTGCCCTTCTTGTAAGTAGGTAACCTGCTGTGTTTAAAAAGGTAAAATGCTCCATTTAGAAATGTCTCTGAAGGTTAGCTGGAGAAAAAAAAAAAAGAATTTCTACTTGAATAAACAAACATTTTGAATAACAACTTCTAAGCTATTCAGGTTTCCCTTATTATACAATAAAAGTGTTTTTTTTTTTTTTCAGATGCACTCATATGAAATATTAAGCCCTTAAAATGTACTGAATGTTATTTTAGCAACCCATATAATTTATAAAATATAAATACATCTCTAAGAACTCTAACGTTAAGGTTGCAAGGAAAATAAGTCTCCCATAGAAAAGTGACAGAGCAATAGTCATTTAAAAAAATTGATCAACTTTGACCCAGTTTCCTCTACTTTCAAGAATTTGTCCCAATGAAATCATTCAAGAGAAACTGTTCTGTGATGCCTATGGCAACATTATTTAAGCACCACCTCCAAATCTAATGATTACTTAGTTCACTAACACAAAATGCACTATATTGTCATCAATAAGTTATAAACATCATAGAGAAACAAAAAAGACAAGTGAAAAAGAATTTTTAAGAGTTTCTATGCTATAACTGCAAGTACAGGAAATGTTAAGAATGCCTGCTCTTTCTACCAAGTCCTTGACTGTCATCTCACAATCTTTCCTTTGTGTTTAAATAACCTTACGTGAAACCATACCTTCAGGGAGAAATGGAAGAATGCTTTAAGACTAGAGTCTTATTTCAAACAGCTGAATAAAATTGTTGGTAACCTAGTTGGGATATAAAATGGTGTAGTTACTATGGAAAAACCTATGACCATTCCTCAAAAAATACAATTATCATACATCTGATAAGTCCACTTTTGAGTAGGTACCCCAAAAGATATCTTTACACTCACATTCATAGCACCATTGTTCACAACACCTTGGAGGTGGAAGCAAACTAAATATCCATCGATGAATAAATGGGTAAACAAAATATGTGATATACATATAGAATGGAGTATTATGTAGCCTTTAAAGGAAGGAAATTTTGACATAGGCTGTAACATAGATGAATATGGAGGACATTATGCTAATGTCCACAAATTCTGTCCTATTTCAACATGAGGCATATGTATTAGTCAAATCCATAGAGTCAACGTAAAATGGTGGTTGTCAGCTGCTGAAGGCAGGGAGGAATGAGGGGTTATTATTTAACAGAGTTTCAGTTTCGGAAGATGAAAGAATTCTAGAAATGAGTGGTGGTGACGGTTGTGCAACAATGTGAACGTACTTAGTAACACCGAACTATATACTTGAGGGTTAAAATGATAGATTTTATGCTATGTATATTTTACCACCTTCAATTTTTTTAAATCAGTTTTATCTGAGGCCCCACAGCTTGCAGGGGAGGGGGCAGGGACAAATTCTGGAAAAAAATTAGTAACAAAAAGCATCTGTAAAAGTCATTTATGTAGACGACCAACATACCCGACTACACCTGTTTTAGAACTGTGGTCTTCTTCAAAGGACCATCTAGGACCAGCTAACGCTGCTCTGGTTTTCTGCTTGTCTGATGCCTTCAGTAATCCTAGGTAGCTACCGAGGTCCCATATTTAGTAATCCCTGGTGAGGACAGAAGCCGAGGGGGAGAAGACAGAGAGCTCAAAGGCAAAAACAGAACTTTCCAGGGCCCCACCAATGAGCAGCCCTCAAAGTCCAGATGAAGTCTGCCCGACTTACTAAAAGGCCACTGGTCAAGCTGTGACCTCACCAACCTGTCAAAAGCAAGATCCCCAAAGCAAGCAGAGTGGTTTTACTCCCCAGGTGGTGGCAAAGTCCATTCTTTGACATCTATTTTAACTCACAGGCAACTCCCTGAAGCCCTCCTCTGCAAAAGAACTCCAAAAGCTGAGTTTCCTGAGGGGAGGGGAGAGGAAAGAGAGAGCAGCGGAGCAGAGGGGGGTGGGGAGGAGAGGGGAGGGCAGGGGAGAAGCAGCCTGGCACTTGGAGGGGGAAGACGGGTCTGCTTTGCCCCTTTCCCAGTCTCAAGAGTCATTTCAAAGACTACAACTGTCATTGACTATAACTGTGATAGTGACATTCTCAAAACACTTCAACACGAAAAGCTCTGTCTGGTCTCTTTTCTCTTTTTCCCTCTCCCTCTGGGGTCAGGTGGAAGCGTGGGGCAAAGAGCGCTGACCCTTTAAAATTATCTAGAAAACATTCTCTGAAAACCCACCTTGTAATTAATTGCCCCTGGCATAGAGAGCCTGGTGTAAAAATCAACTGAAGGCCTCAAACATACCAAGGGCCCAACAGCTTTAGACAAACCCCCTTCTCTTATCCAGAAACCTGGACAACTTGGTCTTTCCCCTTACTGTCATCGCCAATAAAATAACCAACATGGGGATGCTCCTCTTTGCCTAACCATGACGTCTGAAAGTGTTTTTCCCCTAGAAAATACTATGTAGAAACATGATTCTAACTTTCTCACTGCCAGGTAAATGGTGAAACAGTTTCATATGTTTAAACAGTGCATTTTCAAAAGGATGAATAAACTTAAATAGGGCTAAACAAATATTTAGAAAATCAGTGTGAGGTTGTTTCTGGCTGAAGGAAATGAAGAACTAAAAGCCGCTCTTCTGGTTCCTTTTTCCTCTGAAACGTTCCATTCAGCAACATATTACTGAGGTTGAACACGTATAACTGGTTTTCACACCAAAATCACAGTGGCTCAGATGACGCAGGAGCTGAGAGGAATTGAAGCTATATGAGCTGAGATTTCTAGAATGTATCGCCTCAAAATTTTCCATCTGTAATAGCATTATGTTTCTCTAAAACATTTCTCTAAATGAAACACATATACAGAGAATGAGAGAATTTTTTAAAGCCAAGTTTTTGTCTTTTTTAATAAATGCTAGAAGAAGGAAGCTCTAGAGTCTTTAGTCCGCTGTCGCTCAAGACAGACCCTGATTTGACATGCACATTCCTTTGAATTCACAAAATGTTTTTGTGGCAAAATTTCTGTGCACACAGGCAGCGGCCCTCCTGCCACCCTGGGATCAGCCAGATCTCAGCAGGTTCACCAATAGCCATTTGGGACTCAGAGGTTAGTGGTCCTAAAGATTCATGCTTCTCAATCCCCGAGTTGTAACTGAGTTGACCTAAATAATGCTGTTGCAATTAGAGCACAAACCAAAGCTATGGGTTGCTTTCCTCTTGAACAGCCCCCTTCCACATAGAATCACTTGTACCAAGAAAAAGTATTCTATTAGGA